ATTTTGAAGCATAGTAGATAGCATTAAGTTCCTGGCAAAAGTCTGAGTTCAGTGATCTGTGTAAGGGAATAAACTGTACCTAGTGTTTTAAAATATGTGCTTTAAAAAAAACACCCTCCAAGTGATAAAAAAAAAAAAAGAAAGGTATAATGAGATCCAGCTTCCTGTAAGTTTATGGTAATTTTGTGCCTTTTGCTAGTTGTTCTATTTATGTGGTCCTTTACTGTAGCCTGGCTCCCACCCTCTAATATAGTTATCCTCACAGCACTTCTTTGTGGTGAGGAAGTACAATAATCCCCACTTTACAAATGGGGAGCCATGGCAAAAGAGAGGCTTAGTGACTCGCCTGAGGTCATGCAGGCAGCCCATTATGGAGCAGGGAATTCAACCAGGACTCCCAAACAGCAGACAAATGCTCCGAGCCCAGGGCTGTCTGTCCTTTAGCTCGTATTTTTAAAGCACTCAGAAGGTTGTAACCAGATTTCAGAGATGGTTCGGGGGTTATTGAATCCAGTCTGACTAAAATAACAGAATAGCTGGACCAAGTGAAAATGTGCTGCTTAGTGTAGAGTTGCAATATCAGTAAGTCAAATAAAGGTTTTTCCGCTGGCAGCTCTGGTTTCCTCTCACTTGCCTGAGCTTGCTCTCTCATACACACACACAGAGACACTGTCTGCAACTCATTTTTCTCCTGCCTCGGAAGAAGGACTTGGTGAAAGGAAATTGGTATAATTAAATGGTTATGTAGGAAGCTGATGGTAAGTATTTACTTTTATAAAATAAGTGGAGGAGGAAAAACCTATGAGATGGATTTCTTAGTGTTTGCTTTTTTGGGTTTATTTTTGGGAGCAGAGTATTGAGTGACAGAGATTTGTTCCCAGCAGAAAATGCTTGAAACACATTAGTCTGCTTTGGTATTAGAAAGATTAGAGGGCACACTGTGAGAATTTGTAAGGATTTATGTGCTTTTTAGAGAGGATTAAGAATAAAAAAAAAAAAAATCCAGATTAGAAATGCTGTCTAACCACATCACTACTCTACAGACCAACATTTGCATGGTGGTTTTCTTCTATGTTTTAATACCACAATGTTTGCATTGCAACTTCAGTTACAGTTGGTTTTGTTTAAAGACCATAGTCTAGGTGTGCACAGTATGTGAGATGAAATTTTAGGAGTTGATGTAGCATCCTTTAAATCTTATTCAGGAGCAAGTGTGAACAAGCAAGAAATACCTGAGAAAAATAGTTTAGGAATATTCTTATTCTATAGAGTTGCTTAAATAAAAGAAAAAAAAGAATCAGGCACATTTCATAGTTCTTAAGTGTGTGCTTTCTTCCTGTCTGTCAAATTGTGAACTTGAACAAGATTTGTCCTCTGGAACATTATTTCTTTAAAATATTTGGACATGGTAGTTCTCTAGTAACACCAGACTGCACAACATGGAATTAGTTATTTGTTTAGGAACAGAATTGTTAAACATCCTCTAAGCTGTAAAAGGATACTTCCTAATTATTTACTAGAAGCATCCATAGTTAATTAAAGTCAGACTGCTAAATGCGGATAATTAGAGGCTTATGTTGCTTGTGCTGATTTGAGCTAGTATTTAATTTGTAAATTCAGTCCTTTTTAGACACTTTATTTAGAAAAAGCTTAAATCTTTGCAAGATGTTCTTATGAAAAAAGACTAGCTATGTCTTTATGCTTTACAGTCTCACTATACTACACCTCAATTTGTCCATAGTTTTTGGTACCTTACCAACATGCAATAAAAATGTAACTTGACCAGCAGCAGTGGCTTAATTGTTCAGGGTTTCTTTTTTTTTTTCCTTTCTTTCTTTTAACTTCCTCCTACACTGTTTCTTTCTTTCTTCTTTCGTTTTTTTTTCTTTTGTTTCATTTTGTGTGGAGGTTGGAGTTAGACTTTATCCACAGTATTGTTTGTGCAGTGCATACCTGAGCCCAGTGATGCTCGGAGGATGAGTGGATGTTGAGTGTTATGTGTTTTCCAGCCGTGTGCCAGCAGCTGTTTCAGGTGCTTGGTACCATATCCAGGTTTCTGTGGATTTCCATGTCACAGTCACCCTGTGACAGTGACAGCAGTGCACTGTACCTAAGCACAGACACTTGAGCATTTTGTCCCTACAGAGGTCCTGTGAGCAGTTGTATTACCTTAATTTTCCCTCTTGCTCTTTTCAGCCATTGCAATGGCACTGACCAAAGTGAAGTGCTCTTTGCATGGGTGAGCATCATTTGGATTGGATTTTGGGTGTTGGCTGTTGGGTTTAGCTTTGTTTTCAGTTTTACTTCCCTTACAACATTATTTTTGAAACAACATTTAGGTAGCATATGCTATCTCTAATGTTGTTTTGTCGTGTAAACACTCTGCAAAGTCAGTACAGATGTGTGGGGAAGGAGATGTTTTGTTACTGGCCTCTTATGGTTTGTATTGCAGCTTCACTGCAATTTAGATTGTGTGGTATTATAGTGCCTCTTGACAAGAAAAGATTTTCATAAAATCTACATTATACCTGGCACATTATTGTCACTCCTGATGATATGAAAATTTTATTGCAGGTTTTTAGTAGTGGACTGATTTTTTAGTTAAGAGTTCAAAGCTTTGCAAATACGGGCATTTATAGGCAGTGGAAAGGTGCATATTAGCAGGGGAGAAGGACACGTGGGAAGAAGGACTGAAGATTGATTTGAAAAGTTTGGTCTTCATCTGTAAAGAGAAATAAATTTTAGAAATGTGCTGGCAAATACGGACTCTGTATGCAGCAGTTTACAGCTCTGTAGTTGATTCATAGTCCAGTGGGGTAGATTGTGGTTTTAGCTGAGTGGAAAACTGAATTTGGAGCCTTGTCATTAATGAAAGAACAATTAGTTGAACAAATCATTCTTCATCTTTTTCAGGGAAATTGTTGCAGTGACTATAGCTGTGAGAGCCTTTCACTGTTTGTCCCTTCAGGTACTAAGTATATTTGTTAGAAGAGAAGCAAGGCTTTGATTTCATGTTGTGTCTTTGGAAATGCAATCAGTTTCTTTCTTATTTAAATGATATTGTGATTTCATATCATTCTTTAAAGTACAAAGATGATTCTTTTCCCGTGTGTGTTTTAAAGAGGTGCTTATGCTGGAAAGGGGGACTTATGCTGTGCTCTCAAGTGACTGTCAATACAGACATTCACTGCAGTTTAACTCGTGGAAATGAAGGCAGAATTTCTCAGTTTGAGGCTGTACATCATAGTTAGGAAATCACCTTTATCCCATTTCTGTGTTGACCTCAGCAATTGAAATGCTGGAAACACTAGAGGATTTTCTGGGGCTTTTGATGTCAATATGCAGAAATGCTAACAGAGCACTATCCAAGAAGAGATCTGAAGTCCACAGCATCTGTGTTCTTATGAATGAGGAAGGAGATTCCAAGCATTATTTGAAAACCTGTGTGCATAATTTATCTGATATCTTGGAAGGATTTGGTTTCTAAACTGTAGTTCCTGACAAGTGCATGCAGTGAAGCACAAAGTTCTCTGACTCACCACTTTAGACCAAAACACCTTCTGGAGGTGCCTCTTTGTCTCTTTGGCTGTGAGGGAGAAAAAATTCAGATAAAATATGTAACTTTTAGACTAAGAGCTTCTGTAAGAAAAGCTGCCCTCTTAAACTGTTTTGGATAAATGTAGAGAAGGTGTTTCTGTTAATGAAACATGTCAGGTGTGTTCTTTTCAAACTAAATTCTCAGACTGGGTTTTCAAGTACATACATGTGGCATTGGAGTGCAAGTCATGTTTGGAAATGAATGAGTTTTCTGTTCCCCTGCTCCCTAGATAACTGCAGCCTGTTCTAGAACAAGTATGCTTCATACAGTCAAGAATAACATGGCCTTAGTGTAATTGATTTTTCTCTTGTTCAAATTGAAGTTTTACTGTTTAGTCAGGTATTGTTAATTGCAACTTTTATCAGAATCAGATGAATAGATACATAGTCCATCACAGATTGGTGTGCATGGCAGAGGATTAAGACCAGAAGTCCAGTATTTTTATTGGTTTGACATAACTTACTAGTCATGTTAAACCCTACTTACTATGGTTAATTAATTTCTCAGGTTTTTTCTTTCTTAAACTTGTCTGTTAAATAGGCATTTTACAGTGGGGCTTCTAATTTGCATAGAAAATTCAAGGTATTAGTATTATGGTCAGCTACTACTTTTTTTCCTGAAAACCATGAAATTTTGTTTTTTTCAAGATACAGTAATTTTTGCTTTTTCTTGATAAATATGAACTGTTCAGCAGAAGAATTTCTTCTGAAGCAGATAACTGTAAATAGTTCTCTAAAATGCCATTCTTGTAGCATTATGAAATTTGGTTTCCATGCTATTTTACTAGTTTATGTGCTGTAAGAAGGATTTGCAGTAAAGACTTTGAATTTCTGCAAAAGCATTTGTTCTGTACTAGCAGTACTTTGCAGGGAGATATCCAGATATTTCTTAAGATCTTGAAAGCTTGGTATGAAAAATCAGATTTTCCACATTCCCGCTTGCAACTTAAATCCAGAGCAAACAGAGGTCTCTTTATTTCATAAGTACTTGTTTAGCACTGGCTCACTTTTGAGACTTACTGATTTTGTTATATTCCAGGCCAGGAAAATCAAAGTCATAGCATGAAAATATCCTCCTGAAATAAGTTATTACCTTTTAGTGCAGTTGTAAAGGATGACTTCTTGGTTAATGACTTCAGGCTCTGGCCTGAGACTTGAAAGTTCAATCTGAGTTTGCCTCAAGACTGTGACCCTGACCGTAACTGTGGGCACAGGCACCATTCCTGGGTCCCAGTTCCCCTCCCAGAAAACAAAACCTGCCACCTTAGGCTGAAGATCCTGCCATGTGCACAAGTACAGCACACATACAGAACCTCTGCCCCTGGTCTGATTCCTAGTTGCTTCTGTCATAAAGGTAATTAAACATCATGATTTCTATATTACCACTTGTTTCTCTTTTGCAGTCCACATCATGGGGGATGTGAAACTGGTGACATCTACTCGAGTCTCCAAAACCTCCCTGACACTCAGCCCCCCAGTCCCTGCTGAAGCACCAGCATTTACTCTTCCTCCTCGCAATATCCGGGTGCAGCTGGGAGCCACTGCCAGGTTTGAGGGAAAGGTAAGAAATGGAGAGCTTCTGAGTTGGGTTTTGCCCTTTCCTGAAGCTGACCAGGGGGCTGCAAAAGTAGTGAAGTTGCCTCTGCAATATTGGACCTTTACTCAAGAAGAATACAAGCAGTGTTTGCCCTCCTGCGGAGGCAGGAGCATTACAGGTCTGTTTCTGTGTAGAGGAGAGATTTGTGGAACCTGAGCATTGCAAAGTATAACTTTGTTGAGCATGCAGGGAGCTGAGGTTATTATCAGCGAGAAACTGCTTCAAGGGCTGTCTCTGGTCAGCATGTTCCCCTACTGCAATTCTACATATTCTCCTACTGCACATTGACATCCCTGCATCCCAAATATCTGCCCATTCATGAAGCTTCATGTGTGACACAAATGCTGCAGCATGTCCTTCCTAGCAGTCAAGGTAGGAATCTGCAATGAGTGTTGAGAGTTCTGTGTCTGCACTGCCTGCCATATGTGTTCTTAACTTGAAAGAAAAAAGAGCATTTTCAGAGGAAAGACTGATTTGTTCAGGAAAACTTGTTAACTCAGAGGGTTTAAAAGGCTGCATAGAGGGGTGTGTATCCCCCATTCCCCTCTTGTTTGGGATATTGAATTGTGCATCCTGGCATCCATATTTCTTGCATGTGTCAATCCTGGCACGTACTTATCCTTGTTGTAGCTGTCTTCCTTTCTCCTCCGTTAACCCAGTTCTTTTTCCTGGAGCTGTGAGCTTTCCTTCCCAGTCCTTTCAGCTTCCTTTGGTTCGTGTCACGCTCCGATTGCACGCTGACAGCTGCACCATCAAACTGACCGCAGTGGAACCTTTGAAGTGGTGGGACTCGTCTGACACAGGCAGGAAACTGCAACCCTACTGTAACAAAAGCAAGGGCTAGAAGGAATTTGGGAAATTCTTAACTTCTGAAACTCTAACTTAAACACAGGGCCTGAAGAGGGCATCTGATATTTATTTTATTTGTTTGTGTAAGACCAGCCAGGAACTGGGATTTTTCAACAGGAACTGTATAGGGAAACAGGTTTTGGAGTATATTAATTTTGAAATCCTGAAGCAAAATGCAGTAGTTGTTAGATTTGACTTTTTAAAGAAAAGTTGTCATTTTTCATACAAAGCAAATTTCAATAAAGTGCTTAAACCAAAGCAGTATTTAACCAAATCTTCAAGATTTTTTTTTTTAATTTGCTTATTTTTAGGTGATTTTAAGGCACCAGTCAGAAACGCTTTGTGTGTATGACATTGGCCAGTCCCCATGAACACTTCTGTTCTTACTCTGTATGTCTTATTTTTTCTTCCCTTCATTGTTTCACCTTGTGGCAAATGCAGTAGGAAAACGGCAGCGTGTTTCTACTTTCTCCATGTGACACCTGTGCACAATGCTGTTCTAATTCCAACTGGTTCTTCCAGGCTACGCTGCAATAATAATTCAGTGAATTATAATTGCAGCATGTGCTAAGGTTTGGTTTTATAGTTCTCATGTTTCCTAATTAAAAGCTCAAGTGGGATATTTCCAGTTTTTATTGCACTCCGCAGAATTTTTATTATTTAAGTCAAATGGAAACAATTGTAAAATATAATGACCTACAAGCTAGAGTGCCATCACTGCTTTACATTTTTTTTATATCTGGTTTTAAAGTGTTAATTTTCCAGGGATATATATCCCCTTTTTAAAGCCACTTTGAAGACTGGAAGAGTAAAGTCTGAAGGGTTTTTTTAGTAGCTTGGAAGAAAATACACAAATTCAATACTAATTAAACTGTCAAGTTTAATTTCCTTGAAGGAACAAAACTTTGATTGAAGTCCTGGCTTGGACTTACTTGATGAAAAATCTAAATATCTCTTCTGGCAGTTCAATATATGAGCGTAGCCAAAACCTTTAATTTTCCATCCTTAAAATGGGGGTGACAGAATTAGTATTTTGTTTGTGCTCTTACTGTAGTAAGATGGGCAGAGTGAGGGGGAACACAGCAGCCCCTTTGAAAGGTGCTGTGGCTGAACAGCTGCAGGAGCCTGCAGAGCTGTTAACATCTGGCTCCATCTTCAGCTGGGTAATACAATGTTGCTTCTTGCCACTTCAGTATTTCAGAGGTTCAGAAGGACAGTTGACTTGTTCAGAAAAACAGGTTCAGAAGGACAATCTTAACAAAAACAATTTATTAAGATTTAGTAATAGAAGCTACTCAACGTACTTAGGTTTTTCTATCCTGGAAAACCTATCTAGGCTACAGATGTTGTGATAGGTTGTTGCAGTATAAATATTAAACCAGACTCAGGCTAAAGAAAAATAAAAAGTTTTTTAAATGGCTAGACAGGAGCTTTTCTTCAAAGAGTTTCTTTGCAGTGGAATTGATCTTATCAGAAAGAACAAATATTTTTAGAATCCAAGACAGGATATAAATCTGATACTGTGATGATCCTGTGTTCTCATTAAGTGAACAAGGAAGAGAGGGCCCCAGAATTAAACTTGCTGGTTTTCTTTCCAGCGGCATTATTAGATAAGTTGTGTGAAATGGCAATTCAAGATCAAAGAGAGCGCAAAAGTTGAGAAATAGCCCATAAATGTAGGAAATTTGAGGTAGAAAGAAACTGGCGCTTCCTTTAACAGGATTTTTTTTAAAAATTATTTTCCTGTTCCTTCAACTACCACCCTGATTTTCTTATTAAAATTTCAGGAAGTTTATTTATATCTGACTGCAGATCTCCGTTTTCTAGTGGCATCTCAGCATAGAAATTTAAATCATCATCTTTAAATCATCATCTCAATTGTATGAGCATGACTTTGTCTTGGCACAGAGAGTGGAAACAGTAAGGCAGAGCCAAGGTTACTTTCACTAGATGCTCCCCAAAGATCTGCTGGATGGACATCTTAGTTGTTCATCAATAAATTGTTGAGTTGATTTTTAGGCAAACCACCCCAGATAATTGTGAAATTGCGTTGTATGTTCTGAACTTTTCAGGACTGGGTTGATAAGCTGTTCTTCAATGGCGCATCATGTGTGAGGTGAGCAGCTCAAGGCACTAATCTCATGCCCTGTGTTAAGGCATTTTGGCTCATCTGTCAGAACCTTTAAGACTCTCCTGGAAAGAAAGAACAAGCCAAAATGTTACCAGGCTTTGTTTTAAGCCACTTCTTTCTCAGCTGTATCGAACACTGGATGTTAACTTGTGCATTTGATTGCAGCAAGCATTTAACCTGCCTTATTTGCACATGTGTAATGTTGATGGTCATTAATTTTATGAGCCTAAAAAAATACTTGTGCTATAACTCTTCTTGGGAGGAACAGCCAAATGTTCTATAGATCACAAACCCATTGCCTAGGGGTCAGGAAAGAGTTTTTCTCCTTGACAAAGCATTGTACAATTGGCAACAGAGCAGTATGGGTGATTTTTCTGCTTCATGTGGGCCATATATATGGCCAATTTCCAGAACCAAAATATCAAACTACTAAATCTAGTCTTGTATTTTAATCCCAGGGAACTAGATTTCATGTAGGTCATGGTTTGAGTAGCTGTTGGAGTACTAAATACAGTTTGTTGCCCATTGAGTAGTTACTGTTCTGCCCTTCCCCTTCCATTACCCTCCAGGTAAGAGAACTGGATGGTAAATTTTAAGACAAGCCAGGTCAATGTCACATCCTGCCCCTGGTGTTTTCTGGTTTTTCTTCTACCACCCTGCTGTTGCATCTGTTTGAATCAGTTAAGTCCAATGACTTACAGTTGCTTGTGCTGCCCTCTGTTCTGGGATAGAGAGGAGTCCCATTTCTGCAGTGTGTTAAGAGATAAAGAGTTGGGAAGCTCTACAAGAATGAAGACTGTGTTAAACACTCCCACAGCATTTATAAATTCTTTCAACTACTCACTAAGGTTAAAACTAATTTTAACCTGTTTTTTTCACTGTGCCGTGTTTTACATGCATAGCATGAGCTATGCATGGCAAAACCTTTGGTATCTTCCCTTAGATTTACTCTCAAGGCAGCAGTGTGTGTCCATTTCCAACCCTCAGTCAGCTGGCACTCCAAAACAATGCTTAATTACACCACATGCCTGGATTTCAGATGGCAGGATCTGAGAGGAGCCCATGTAATGACAGAGGATGATGACATGGCACCAACATCCTTTGCTGTTGGCCTCAGATGTTTGCTGTTACAAAATGTACTGGGCAGCTCAATGCGTGGAGCTGCCAGTGGCTTTGGATCTGCTCTTTCTGGAGGGATGCCTGTTCTGAGCCTTATAAGGGAAGAAATTCAGGAGAGACCCATGTTTTCATGGGAGACAGTTGTCTGATGGCAGTGAGTGCTGTGAGAGGACTTGTGCTGATCTGTGATACTGTGCTACTCCCAGAAACCTGATATAAAACACTGAGGCATGTTTTGAAGGGGAAAGAATTGAAAAAGTTCGACTTGACTATGGATTTTATTTGATCTTCCTTTCCACATACCACTGGAGCATTCCTGGGGAAAAAGTGGTGCATTCAGAAGTTACTTAGACCTTTTGTGTTAGGCAGACATTGAGGTATAGACAGCTGAAAGAAAAAGAAAAAAACACAAACACAAAAATAAACACAAAGGGTGGCTGTGAGCAGCTTTTTGCACACTGTTTTCTGTTTGGCTCTTCTACTGCTGTGTCTTCTTCTTTGGTGTAATCGACCTCCCATCATATTCACTTACCACAGGCATGTTCTCATGAGTAATGCATGCATGGTTTTATTTGGGTTTATTTTACTCTATAACCCCATACTGGCATATGGAAACAGTGTCAGCTTTACACAAGGCCAAAGTGGAACTGGCTGCTCTGCTGGGAAGTGGTTAAGGTGGGATTCAGTCAAAAGGACTTCCCCACACAGTGTCACCTACACCCAGAATTATTCAAACACACTTCCTTTCATCAACTGACACAAGCTCCCATGTGTTGATGCCCATTTTCCTTGCCTCACAAATGATACATCCTTAAAAAAAATTACTCAAGAAAGTTCTAGGTTTTAGGCAGGAGTGGTGGCCCAT